CATGGATTGGAAGAATTAACATCATTAAAATGTCCATACTACCCAAAGCTATATATAGATTTAATGCAATTCCCATAAAAAAATCAACAATATACTTCAAGTTTATACAGAACTAAAAAAGGCCCCAAATAGCCACAGCAATTTGAAAAAGAAGAACAAAGTAGGAGGGCTCACAATACCAGATATCAGGTTATACTACAAAACCACTGTAATCAAAACAGCCTGGTACTGGCACAAGAACAAGCACAAAGATCAATGGAACAGAACAGAGAACTCATAAATTGGCCCAAGACAATATGCTCAATTAATATTTGAAAAAGGTGGTAAGAGCATACAGTGGAGTCAAGACAGCCTCTTCAATAAATGGTGTTGGAAAAATTGGACAGCTACATGCAAAAAAATAAAACTGGACCACCAACTTACACCCTACACAAGAATAAACTCAAAATGAATAAAAGACTTAAATGTGACTCGTAATTCCATAAAAATTCTAGAAGAAAATGCAGGCAATAAAATTTCAGACATCATACGCAGCAGAATTTTCACTGATACAACACCTATGGCAACAGAAACAAAGGAAAAAATATACAGATGGGACTACATCAAACTGAAAAGCTTCTGCACAGCAAAAGAAACAACCATCAAAATGAAAAAGGAACCCACTATATGGGAAAGCATAATTGCCAATGATACATCAGATAAGGAGTTAATTTCCAAAATATATAGAGTACTCATAGAACTCAACAAAAGGAAGACAAAGAACCCAATTTAAAAAAGGACAGAGAACCTAAATAAACACCTCTCCAAACAGGACATATGAAGAAATGCCAATGTCATTAATCATCAGAGAGATGCAAATTAAAACAACAATGAGGTATCACCTCACACCTGTCAGATCAGCCACCATCAAGAAATCATCAAACAACAAGTGTTGGCGAGGGTGTGGAGAAAAGGGGACTCTAGTACACTGCTGGTGGGAATGCAGACTGGTGCAGCCACTATGGGAAACAATATGGTGTTACCTCAAAAAATTAAAAATTGAACTGCCATTTGACCTAGTGATCCCACTTCTAGGAATATACCCTAAGAAGCCTGAAGCACCAATCAGAAAGAATATATGTATTCCTATGTTCATAGCAGCACTATTTACAATAGCTAAGATCTGGAAACAGCCTAAGTGTCCATCAGTAGACGAGTGGATAAAAAAGCGGTAGCACATGTTTCTTTCTCTCTCTCTCTCTCTCTCTCTCTCTCTCTCTCTCTCTCTCTCTCTCCCTCCCTCCCTCCCTCCCTCTGCCACTCTATCTGAACAAAATATCAAAAAATGTCCTCGGGTGAGGATAAAAAAAAAAAAGCAGTGGTACATATACACAATGGAGTACTATACTGCTGTAAGAAAGAAAGATCTCTTATCCTTTGAGATGACATGGAGGGACCTGGAAAGTATTATACTAAGTGAAACAAGCTAAGCAGAGAAAGACAAATGTCACATGATCTCACTTATTGCTGGGATATAATGAACTAAACAAACTGATGAACAAAATGGACTCAGAGTCATTGAAGTAGGGTACAGACTGACAATCCTCAGAAGAGGGAGGTGGGGGAGGGAAGGGATTAACCACAGAATTTATATGCATGTGTGCATAACTGATGGACACATACAACAAAGCTGGGGATGGGGTGAGGGGGATGGGGAGGTGGGTGTCAATGAGAGGAAAAAGGAGAAACATCTGTAACAAAAAATAAATAAAAAGAAAACAGGTCAGGAAATTCAGGACAGAAAGAGGGGATTTGTCTCTTTTAAAGTCTAATCTTTATCTTAGGTTTCCTTCCTCCTCTAGACATCAGTGGTATGTATCTTTTCAAAGCTCGACCAGAACAGGGGAGTTTCTTGTGCTTGGAGCAAAGTTCCTAAGAAGTTAAGCCTCTGCATGGACCCCAGAGGAAGGTGAAAATGTTTTTGTCTGTTGGTCCAGAACCACACAGTTCTGAGGGTTTTCGCAGTGGAATTCCTAGGCCTTCGCTGATCCACGCTCCAACAAGGTTCCCAGCTGGAACTGTGTCTGTTTCCTCTGGCTTGACCTTGTTTCTGCCCAAGGATTGCTCTCATTCATCCATTGGAAAAGTATAGCAGGTCCTCAAATAACGGTGTTTTGTTCAACATATTTCATAATAACATTGATGAGATGCCATAGGAACTCAACTCCTGTTTGAATCAATTAGCCTGTGGTAACATTGGTTTTGTTATACGTTGTTTGGCTTAAAGTCGCAGAACCTGTTAACAATGTTAACTGATGACTTACTGTATTTATTGAGAGCCTCATAGGTGTGAGACAGTGCTAGGTGCTGGAGACACAGCTGTGAATGAGACCAAGGCCCTGAGCTTACGTTCACCAGTGGTAGTGGGTGAAGACAGTCAGCTACCAGGGAAACAAATGCAATATTGATGATTTCAGAGAGCCTGTTTATACAGAAAATAAACCTGGTGATGGTGTAGAGTGGGACGGGTGGGAAGGGTTGACAGTGGCTGGGAGGGCCAGGATGATGACTCTGAGCAATGATATTGGAGTGAGCAAAGAAAGGGTGACCCAGGGAGGGGTTTCTGCAAGTATCCAGGTGTGGATACCTGTGGGCCTGGTGCATTCAAGGGGCAGACTATAAGGGGTTTGTATATAAGAGGCACACGGGATGAGCAAGGCAGGCAGGGGCCAAGTCACACGAGGCCTTCGCAGACTAGAGTTTTCCTCATGGATTTTATTCTAATTGCATTAGAGACAATGCAATTAAAACCACTGCAGGGCTTTAAATGGAAATGTGCTGTGATCTGATGTACACTTGAGAGCGCTCACTCCCAGCAAGGCTGCTCCTTGAGGGCACCACTCCAGTTAGCGACTCAGCAGAGCGGGGAGGGGGAGAGCCTCTAATAGGTGAACTGTAATAAGTGCACTCCATCTCGCCCTGACAGTATGTGCTGTGGGCATGATCGCATCAGTTCCCACCATGGGCTACATTTCAATGAGCTCTTTAGATAGTGGCTTTTTGTGGCTTGCCAATGTTAATAAGTGTTTATATGGCTCATTCTTCAACTCACAAATCCATTTGTTTCTGTCACACTGTCCCCAGGTGACGGTCATGGTTCACTTGGAGCAGGCTTGCCAGGCACTGCGTCCACTCCTCCTGGTCCTGAGATGGCAACTCTGGCAAGCCCCCCTTGCCTTGCCTGGACCCATTGGTTTCCCTGTCAGGAGCTTCTCTTTGACATTCCATGTAGACCTCGGCCAAACATCTCAAGTCTGGATACTGGATGACTCTTCAACTATTTTTGTTCAGAAGCATAGAGGACTTGTCTGTGGCCTGGCCTTCAAACAGGATGTTAAGCCATCAGCTGTAACAGGAACAGTATACCTGGTATGACAGGGATGAAACAGAAACCATTTTTAAAAAATGATTCAGTAGCAATGTTTTCCAACTTTCCTGCCTTGAAAAAGTTTTCCAGTTGATAGTAGTGAAATTGTCTTGTCTCTTGGGAGATACAGTAGTACAGGCCTTTGTCCTGAAGCAGGACCGGAAAGCATTGTTGGGGACCACAGGAACCGATCGAACCTGTTTCGGTCTGGACACTCCTTAGGCGGTCCTGATGCGTGCCAGCCGTGGTGCAGACGACACCCTGTGGGGGTTGTAGTGAAAATAAGATTGTTTCATAGGTTACGGAGTAAAAGAGTTTTCAGGTTCATCAACCCTTCTGCAAGCCATTTGCCGAATACAGTTTAGCTTGTGGTACAGATAAAGGGAAACCTCTGGGAGGTGAAATAACAGTCATAGGATAAATGTTTGGACCCTAGAGCTGGAAGAGAATTTGGGGGTGATTTAACTCAATCTCCTCATCTATAGGAAAGAAAATAGAGGCTTGAAGAAGTGTGGGACCTGCCTGAGGCAAAAGAGCCAGCCAGCGGTCCAGGGGGGACAAGCACACGCTCTTTCTCATTGGCTGCGTCTAGAGCCAGATGTCCCAGACTGGACATGCAGAAGTCAGAGTGCATGGGGACCCGCTGCAGCCACCCTCCCCTCCCCCACCCAGGGGACTTCCTTTCATTGAAGCACCTATGTTAACTACAAGAATGAATCATGAAAATAACTACTGAAATGGATCCCAAAACCCTTTCCAGAATTACCTCCGCCAAAAATATAGAAGCAGTTTTTTAGAAGCCTTGCAGCTTCAGCAAGTACCTTGGCAATGTGCTTGCAAAGCAAGAGGTGGGGCAGCGCCAGGCCTTGCTTTTTTTAAAGACAGTCATTGCTTGGATGGTCTCTCGGCAGCCCCGCAGCCTGGCAACAATTTGCACATGCTTTTTGGAGCCATTTGGTTTTAAAAGAGTTTAAAGATAAATGGACAGAGTCTTTCATAACCTGGACGACTCTTAGTGCCTTTTCCTCAACAAGTGAGAGCAGAGCCAGAGTCACACACTAAAGTCTCTGGTTTTCCTTTTATTGCCTGAGGAAGTCATGTTTGTGTGCTGTGCCAGGGCAGCTGAATTCTGAGTTGTTCTCTATCCCTTTTCTCAACTTCCGGAGCCCTTTGCTGGCTCCTAGTCCGGCCCTGTGTGAGGGGCCGAGGCCTCCAATTCTCGCTGGCACTGGTATTGGGCCAGACATGTAGGTGGCTTTTCCATGGCGTGGCTCAAACACTTGCTGTCTGGTTTGTTTTTGAGTGTGTGTGTGTGTGTGTGTGTGTGTGTGTGTTTTCATGCCTATACCCTAGAAACATTCCAGCAAGAGTTGCCAAAAATCACAAGACCTTGTCTTGGGACTGGTGAGCTGACTATTCCTAACTGTCTGAAAGAACTACAGTCCATCTGCAGTTCCCACAGAGCGCTGTGGCTGTTTATCAGTGCTGGGGTGGGCTCGCTATTTAACAGTGCTTAGACGAGGTTTTGAATAGTCTCTATTTGTTGTTATCCACTCTGTCCTTGCCCCCTCAAATGAAAGTGCTTTCCCTGCAGGTCATAAAAAAGGAAACTGGGTTTTGGAGAGACTTCGAATTTGGGATGACATGTCAGTATCGGTCAGACTTCATCAATACAGGTAAGACAAATCCACTTGCAACAAGTCTGCAGCTCTACTGCCACCTAGAGGCCAGTGAAGGGCCATGAGGAAATCCGGTCAGCTTCTGAGGAATCTGGAGGCAAAGGCCTTTCAAGTTCATTTCTCTTATCATGGACTTGGGGTGTTGGGCACTTTAGCCCCTATAATCTCCACCTGCACCACTCAATCATTTTAAATAAGGCTTGCACCAGGAGATTAAAGGCCGCTCCTATAGAAAGGCAGCTTCGAAGCAACTCTCCCAGTGCCTCCTTCCCCAAGTCTGCTCCACCTCATCATGAACATCCTGGGCCTCCACAGCAGGGGGACTCCATTAAAAAAAATAGGGTGACATGGGGAATTTTGGAAAATCACACACCAGGAAAGATCCAAATTTTTCTCTGCTGCACCTTCGAAAATTCCAGATGTCACTTGAAGCTCTGAGTGTACAGTCACTGTGTACACACACACAGAGCACTCACAGGAAAGGCCCTTAGGTCGCAGTTGAGGACACGAAGGCTGTCAGGGGCAAAGTGAAGGACATGGTCAGGATGAGAACAGAGTGTCTGCTGCCCCTCTTGGAAATTCCACACTCTGTCCCCGTGGTGGTTCTAACTGATGTGCCTCTGGAGGGGGTCGAATTGTGGATTATACATGACTAGGGAGTCAGTGAACAGGTCAGAAACCTTGATCTTGGGATCGGGCTCAGGGTGGCCCCCAAGCAGGATGGAGTCGGGAGGTCCTGTCCTCAAACCGTGTGACAACTCCCATCACCACGGTCTCCCTGGGGGCCTCCCAGAGCCTGCTCACCTTGCTCTCCTGGTCTATTCCTCCTCTGGCCCAAGGCCAAAAGCTTCCCCCTTTTTTTAAAAAAAAAAAGTTTTTAATTGATTTTTTTAGAGGTGATGGAAAGATTGATGTGAGAGAGATACATCGACCAGCTGCCTCCTACACTCTCCCTACCGGGGATCGAGCCCACAACCCGGGCATGTGCCCTGAGTGGGAATCAAACCAGAACCTGTCAGTCCATGGGGTGATGTTCAGTCCACTGAGTCACACCAGCTGGGTCTCCCTTTTTCAGATCAATGAGTCTATTGAGTAGCCCCAGGATTTTGTTCAGAAGTAGAGGAAGTCTACAGAGACTACAGAAACCTCCCAGAAATCACCAGTTAAAAAGAAAAAGCAAACAAACTACTTGCAGTCAAGCCCTGTCAGAAGCAGCAGAGCACCCAAGACGTCGGTCTCTGAGTGGCGGGTGCCCCCCGATAACCGGCAGTGAACCACAGGTCTGCTTTGATTTCTCTAAAAATGTAATTCTATGTGATTTTGTGCAAATCAATTTCCAAAAGTAACATATATATATTTTTTTAATTTCTAAAGGAGATTTTCACTTCAAGAAGCTATTTTCTTGCTTTATGTAGAGGGAGAGATTGTTCTGTGGTGATGTGTGTTTATCAAATTGGGGCTTATAATACACTTTTTCCCTAAAGATAGGGCATAGCTATAATTGAAAAACATGGGAGTGGCAGGCTGGGAAGGGTGCTGTTGCTCAGTAAGCTGTTAAGGCCACAGAATGAATCTTTGAGTTACATCTGTCCCCCAGTCATTCTTTCCAATCTTGTATTAATTTGCAAGTATCATATACGTGTGCAACTTCTACTTAATACGTAGTGATGATACGAATGGGAATGGTAAATCAGTTACAGCTAACAAAGCACTGCCCCTTACATTTCTGTCTCATTTGGTTATGACACCTACTTCATTTCAGGATAAAGAAACCAAAGCTCAAGAGAGCTGAAGTGGAAGCTTGGAGGAGAGCCAAGACTCAAATTCCAGACCCTTGACTCAGAATGGTTTCTGCCTGCACACTGTTGGGGGGCGGGGACACAGATTACTCAAATACATGGCCCAGGGGTGGGTGGATGTGGGTTCCCTGTGCTTGGGGAGTCCCCGCTTCTGGGTCCAGAGATAGCCTTGATCAGAGCAGCGTGGTTTGGGGGTCGCAGGAGGCAAAAGGGCTACGTGATAACTGAGAAAAGATGTTGAGAATCACCTCCTTGTTTCTTATAAGAGCTGGAGAAATCTCCCAGGTGAGACGGGAGCAGTGACAAGAGGGCAGTTTTCTTTGGCTTCTACTTGAGACACAGTGGGCTTTAGGTTAAGAAACAACCTGGGGAGTCTCATGTACAATGGTGAGAGTTTAGGGACCGTCACTCATGACGTGAATCCACTCCTCCAGGAAACAAGGTTTTCTGAGTAGAACTTCAGAACTGACTGGGGCCGGTCCCTTTAACATGAGTCATTTCATCAGCTTTTGGGAACCACGTTAGTCTCTCTGAGAGGAAGAGTGGTTTTGTGGGATGTGATTTTTTCACGCTGAGATCCTGTTTTACTCTTTCCATTTGAAGGGGCAGGAGGAGGGCACGTTCAACTGGAAGCGCAGGCATTTTCACTGGGAGGTTGCAGGTTGAGGGGAGGGTGCCCTGCAGCTCTTAGTGGGAGGCTGGGCCAACCGTTAGCATTGCTGATGGCTCCTGGAGGCAGGCAGCTGCTGGGGATTCCGCTGCAGCCCTGTCCTCTCCAGGAGCTGGGTGGTGCTGCTGCCATGCAGGTCCTCTGTTCTCGACTGAATAGACATGTAATTTGGGGGGGTGGTGAAACACTCCCCCCTAAATGCTTGCCTTCATGCAGTCTCTGGACCTGTGCGTCTCAGGAAAGCACATATAGATCAGGAGAGGCACCCAGATGACTCAGCAGAGTGTTCTCTCCTGACAGGTGGGTTTGATCTGGACATCAAGGGCTGGGGCGGAGAGGACGTGCACCTGTACCGCAAGGACCTGCACAGCAACCTCACAGTGGTGTGGACGCCTGTGCGGGGCCTCTTCCGCCTCTGGCACGAGAAGCGCTGTGCGGACCAGCTGACCCTGAACGGTACCGGATGTGCATGCAGTCCAAGGCCGTTAATGAGGCCTCCCAAGGGCAGCTGGGCATGCTGGTCGTCAGGCATGAGATCAAGGCTCACCTTTGCAACAGGGGCAGTAGACAAACAGCAAGAAAACATGAACTCCCAGGGATAAATGTGGGGAGATGTTTCTTTTTCTTTTTCTTTTTTTTCCCTTTTGCAATTAACCTGACGGGTGGCTGCAACAAAGACAAGATTTTCATAAAGGGCAAAAAAAGAAGTTGACTGATTAGTAAAAGACAAAGGGAGAGAACCTCTAATTTCTGCGTATGTGGTTTTATGCACCAGGAATTAAAATCTCCCACTTTGCCTGACAAAGTAGCCCAAATGGTCCCTGCAGTGTCTGAGGAAGGAGACCGTACTGAGGTTGTAAACTTGATGGCCTGGAGGTTTTGATTGTGTTTGCAGCAAAGTTAGCTCTGTTGTTTTCTATGCTCATTGAATTATTCATGAACTAAGACCAGTTTTGTAAAAAGTTCATTAGAATGGAAGGCAAACAGATTTCTCCCTGTATGAATGATTGTGTCAGTAGGGCTCTCGTGTCTAGGAATGCTAAAACAACAGAAGGCAGGCGAGGAGACCGTGTGAAATTCCAAAATACCCTCATAACAACCCTTGTGAGTACATTAAGCAAAACCAAATGGACTAAGAAAGAAAAGAAACCATAACTGTGTATCATTACCCCTTCCAGATTAACCAAAAATAATCTCATCTTTTTGGTTGTAGTTTTAACCATCTCCATTTGTTTATTTTATTTTATTTAAAAATGCACTTTTCTTTTGCTTATGAGTTATATTTTGCTTATTTAATGACCTATTTGCAAGCCTTACTAGAGAGAACACAAGTTAGCGTACACCCTCATCTTTTTTAAGAGGATACGTTTAGATACATATGAGAACTTGCCGTTCAGAGCATCAGATTGATGCCCACGTCCAAGGACCTGCCAGATGCCGACCCCGCCAGGCTCTGTGTCAGACCCTCACCTGGAAGGCCACTGACGGACCAAGACATGAAGTACTTTATCCGAGGAGTATTTCCGAAGAGAAGCAACTGAACACTGGAGGGAGAGAAAAAATATACTTTTTTACCTTAATAGAAAGGGAAACTCATTCAGACTGGTGACAACTAGATTTATTTAAAAACCAGAAACACATCTTTCCCTTGGGAGGACTGAGAACTACTTTCTTACCTATTTAAATAAGCCAAAGTACACTGTGTGAACCAAACAATTTCTTTTCAAAGCAGGGTGCTCTTCCTGGCTTCTGGTTTCCATGAGAAGAATTGCAGGAAAATGCATTTGTGAAAAATCACTCCATCCGCTGGAGTCTCGTGGGATGTGAGATTTTGCTACATGTTCACCCACTAGGGGGAAGTAACTTTATTATTTTTTAAGTGAAGCAGTTCTACTCAGTTACCAAGATGCTTCTGAAAATTACATTTTATTACATGTTCTAACCATTACAAAAAATACGGTTAACATTGAGTGGTTTCTACATTCATGTGAAAATTATTTATTAGCCAGCACCAGATGCATGAGCTAATTATCTCTCTGATTTCTTGTTTGCTCTCAGTCAAGTCATTGTTTAAAAGCTTCAAGAACATTCAAACTGTTGGTGTGTTAAAAAAAAAAAAGCATTGTATTGATTTGTACTGGTAGTTCATAAAGTTTAATTAAAACACATGAATGAAAGGTGGCATTGGACAGCTAATAAAATATGATTTGTAGATAATATGATATGATTTCTTCTTGGAGTAAGAATGTCATGCCTTTAATTTGCGGGAAAGTTTTTTATGCACAGACCAGGATTGCTCAGCCTCGGAACTATGGACATTTGGGGCTAGGCGGTTTTTTGTTGTGGGGCTGCCTGTGCACCATAGGGCATTTAGCAGCATCCCTGCCTTCTACCCACTGGGTGCCAGGAGCGTCTCTCACCCAGGCTAATAAATGTCTCCAGTTATTGCCAAATGTCATCAGAACCACTAGTCTAAAGAGAGAGGAGAGAACCATAATGATAAACTTGGCCATTAATATAATTTATTTGTTCTTTTTATTAGAAGAAATTGAGAAATGATTTCCAAGGTCCCTTTGGACTCTAATTGTGTTTTATATTTCTACATACAATGGTGATACCAGAGATTTGGGTCACGGGTCTGGGCTGTCTCCAGTGGTTCTGATGGCTGTGTGGGACTGACCTTCACGCTCCTGCCCGCATTTTCCCAGGGTCGGGGGATGCATTTCTAACAAGGCTGGCAGCAGGGAGCAAATGCTTGACCCTGCGCTCAGGCAGGTGTAAGTGTCCACGGGTGGTGCAGTCCCAGGCTGCTCTGGGCCTAGCAGGCTGTTGGTACTTGTTTAAATCGCGTTATCACAGATGCCTGAGACAGCGGTTAAGAATTAGGTTTTAAAGTTGCTGAAGGTAGCAGAATAGAAGAGGAAATAGCACAATATTAAACTCTTTTTCTCTTTTTAAAACATAGTCAAGTAAAACAGTTTATTTTCAAAAGGCAGGAGCCCTCTTAAAGCACATGCAAGAGAGAAGCTGTCTTAGTTTGGGCTGTTTTATAAAAATAGCTTATACAAAACATGTTGATTTCTCAAGGCTGGAGGCTGGGAAGTCCAGGATCAAGGCACTGGGGATACGGTGTTTATTGAGGGCCCTTCTCACTGTGTCCTCACATGGCTGAGAGCTCTCCTCCTGTTCTTAAAGGACACCAGTCCCATCATGGGGACTCCACCCTCAGGGCCTAATTACCTCCTTAAGTCCCCACCTCCTAATACCATCACACTGGAGATTCAACATATAGCTTGGGGGTGGGGGGTTACATGCACTGTAGAGCAGGACCTCTTCCCGATTCCTCCCCAAAAGAAGGACTAGCAAAGACCTCACTGAAACATTGTAATTAGAGGCTTGGAATTTAACCTTAGACAGCAAAGGAAAGCAGTAATGAATGAGCCTGTGACTTGAAGGAACGTCACATCTCATCTTTTGAAGGAAGGATGCTGCCAAGGAAGCAATGAGTCTTGGGCTTGTGTTGGGTCCCTTTCCACCCTCTGCATCCATTCTTACTGTATATAAGTCGCCTAGTAACTAGCCCCAGTCATCTCGCGGGAGCTGGGGTCTCTAAGGTAAACCTCAGGTCTCCTCCAAGCAGCAGCTGACGCAGCCTCCTGAGAGCCGGTTGTTAGCACCTCTCCCCACTCGGCACTCGGTACTGGCAGACCTGGAGCTTGAAGTCAACCATGGTGGAGTGTTTACACCATGGAAATCGGCAATTAGCAAAGCCCACATACACATCAGGACTCCCTCGAACCCCACCTTCCCCCCCCACCCCAGCCAGTTATTAATTATTTACCGGCACACCACAGATGAAATGAATTAGTATGTGTGAGGTGCTCAGGACACGTAGGACATGTGGCAGGTACTCATGGTCAGCTGTTATCACTCAATACCAGTTCCCATGCCAAGTACCTCTGGGGTGCAATCAGAGGGCTAGTATGGGTCACACATTACAGATCATGAACCCATCATGTGGGCACTGTTGCCCTTTATTTCTGTCATTCTGAAAACAATTTCAATCTACCCGAAGAAGGGTTACTGTGAGTATAAAATATAATGGATAATTTCTCCCTTAAATTCCATGCTCAGTATTTGGAGTTGATGACCCTCTAGGCAGCTGAGAGTCATTGGAGGTTTTTGAAGTAAGGAGCATAGCCAGGCACCGTATGTACCTAATGCCAGCCTCCTAAGGTAGGTAATATCATTACTTCCATTTTACAGGTGCAGGAAACCAAGCCTCAGAAATGGTAAAGAGCTCACCCAGAGGCCCAGCCAAAAAGTGGCTGGCTCCAGGCTCACATTGTCCCAGCTCCAGAGAGCCTGGAGGTCTTGGTGGAGGCAGTGGGTGTGGGGTTTGGGGATTGGAAGATGGACATTTTGTAACCTTGTGTTAATGCACTCTTAACCTTTTGTTAATGCATTCTTGGAAACCTGGCCCGCCCAGGAGCTTTGAGGACTTCACTTGCATGTGAATAAGGGTTTGTTATCTTTTGGCTTCAAAGGCTCTTCCCTTAAAAAGCAAGAGACAAAGCTAGGGTGTATGGTTTGCAGAAACGCCATCTCAAGGACATAATTTACATAAATCCGCTTGTAACCTGGGGGTACCACTCTGCAAATAAATGGGGCTGCATCCAAAGATCGAGAGCTTTGCTCCCTTGCAAAGCTCCCCCTCACTCCAAGCAGCGTGTGCTTGTAGCTTCATTGCGTTGCACTGATCCCAGCAGGCCGACACAGGTGGGGAGAGCTTCGGCCTGGGGTGAGTCTGGAGCCTGCCCTTTTGAGCCTGGGTTTCCCACTGTTTCTCTGCTCTCCAGCCCCACCTGCGGAGTCCCCTGATAATGAATGAAAACGTGGTAACCCAGTGATCCAAGAACCAGGAAGCAAGCGGGCCCACCTCCCTCCAGCTGTGTGTACTACCCCAGGGTCAGGGCTCTCCAGCCTTGGAAGCCGTCGCTCCCGCAGGATCCCGAGGCAGTGCTAGACTCAGAGACTGCCTAGAGCAAGCGGGAGAGCAGGCAGGAATGCAGCCGTCCCTCGCCACTCCACACGTTGACTTTCGCAGCTTCTCTTTATCGCCGTTTTTTCAAATATGTTCAATTAAAAAGTTGATCAAGACAGTGAAAATGATACAGCATGTGCCCAGTTGTCTGAGTCAATTATACACCCCTGTATGTATTACAATTAAAATTTAAATTACTGTGCGTATGGACTGTAGGCCTGTGGATTCGAACACCCCAGGAATCCTTCAACCCCAGGTGCAACCGCTAGGGTCTGGACGGATTGACAGAGGGGCCGACTGTATTTGCTCTTTGAAAGAGCGTTGACATTGTTGCTGAGAACTGATAAAGCCTCGGGCGGTTCCTCAGATGGGTGGGTGTGTTTTAGGGTAATACTCATTGACTAGCTGGCAGCACTGTGTGATCTCTGATCAGCTTCATGTTTGAATTCAAAGCTGCTTCTCCTGGCAGGACTCCTGCTTTGCTATTGCTGCGAAATCTGTGGGGGCTGTGCCAGTCTGTTGGGGGCTTTGGGGAGCATGGTTTCAACACAGAAAGCGTTCAGCCAGCAGAGGTGTCCTCTGGGCTAGTCCCCCGCAGCGCCCTGGGCTGTGTCCGCCTGTCTACCCTTCTAAGGGAGGGGACGCAGGTGGCAGCCTGGGGAGGGAAGCTGGGGCTGTGCTGCCTCAGGGCATCTCTGCCCACAGTCACCCAGAGGTTCAGGAGGGCCAGGCCACCTTCTGTGGCCTCTGCCAAGTGCTTCTCTGTCCTGGCTGCTGGCTGTGGCTACAGGCTGTCCCCAGGTGGGATGCTTGGTGAACTGGACTGACTTCACCCACCTGAGAGGGACACCTTAGCCTGAAATGAGGGGATACAGTACTTCCAGAAGCTCCCTCTACCTCCGCGGACACCCCTCCCCCCTTTCCAACCTCACCACCGGCCCACTACCAAATCATCCTCCAACTCAAGTTTAAAGGACGAGAACAATAAATATCACCTGGCCTGCTAGGATGTTCAACTCCATTTGAAAGGGTTAAGAAAAATAAACAAAAATTTAAAAATAAATAAAAATGGAAAATAAACTGTAAAACCCTCAGGTTAAATTCAAAGGAAGGCTGGTGGGGAAATGTACCTAACTGCTTGTCCTATTACCAGCCTCAAACGGAGCCTCGGGAAACCACACGGTTACTGCGTGGGGCTGTCGGGAAGGTAGGAGGCCTGGTCGGGAAGCCTCCTGGAGCTCCGTGAGCCATCGTGAGCACCCCAAACATAAGCACTGGCCGTGTCGTTTGGTGGGTGAGGACAGGGTGGCTAACTCCAAAACATTAGCTCAGATAAGCAATTCTCGGTATAAATGCCCTTGAGATCTTTTTGGTGGCCTGTCCGTGCCCACTTTTCACCTTTTTCCTTTGTCCTGATCCTTTTTCTTCTTAACTGTTTCTGTGTTTTTCCTCTTCTGGGTATAGGGTTTAAGCCTACTAACACTTCCTGACATCGCTTAGCACTGCTGGGGACACTGAGGGACCGAGTATCTTTCTTGGGACTGCAGTTGTGTAGGGAAGGTGACCAGAACCAGGGGCCTTACAGGTCGGTAGGTACGTGAGGGTCAGGCGGTAGGGAGGTGGCAGCCGGGGAGTGAGCGATGATGGTAAGCAGAACTCCGAGGGAGCAGAGGGAAAGGAGAATCCACAGGCCGGGGAGGGCATCTGCACAGTCTCAGAGGCAGACAGGTTGGAGTACCTGGGATTGGGTCCCTGATGGAACCTGAGGGGAACATACCAGACCAAGGAAACTTGGGCGGGCAGGTCTGGGCACTGGGCTTCTTGAGTCACCAGAAGAAGGGGACCAGGGCCAGGGTTTGGACAGCCTCACATTTGGCCATAAGTAGGTCAGACACAGGGAGACAGGCTAATAGCAGAGCTGGGATGAGAATTCAAGCCTCCTCAACCCCATTTAGTTGTAATCAATGTCTGAATTCTGTAAACCATTCTCCTTCCCTAAGAATTTCAGGTATTATTCCTCGCCATCATATCAGCAGACAATGGACAGTTTAGTCTTCTCTGTGTCAATAACCAACAGGATAAAATAGTGCAGAACTCAAATCTGCTTCTTGCTGTAATAGTAGGCTAATCCAGTCAGGCCATTTCCTGCGCTCGAAATCTTCCTTCAGGAGGGTGTCACTTGGTATAGTTACATCTGGATATGACTACTTATTTCCTCCAAAATAATTTTAGGCAGAGGGTGATGTACAAATTTTATATGTCTTCATAGTTATTAGTAACTAGAGGGTACTTTTCTATTCATTGCAGAACCTTAAGATTTCAGAGTTGAATGTAAATAATAAAGATCACCTAGTTAAAATACCTTGTTTTATTTTATTGGAAGTGAAGTAAGGCTCAGCGAGGTAAGGGTTCTGTCCAAGATCACAAAGCTCATGATAGGAAGAGACGGGGATGGAAGAGAAGTTCCTGATTGCAGCCCTGTGATATCTCTGCAATTCTTTCATGTCAGGACTGTCGAATCCCAGTTAGAAACGAAAGCGAAGAGAGACATTCTCTCAGACAGCTGTCTAACTGACAGTTGTCTCTCAGACAATGGAAACCCCATGGAACATTTCAAGAAACACAGAAGAGCTGGGTTTAACAGCCTTCTCACTCAAGTCCACATATCCACGCACACACACTCGTACATCCATATGCACAGGCATGCACCCCGCCCTCTTTTGGGGTTGCATTTTACACTGTCAACACAACCAACAACCTCAGGAACAAACTGCTACCACCTCTGCTTCCCTTAAACAACGCTGACATCAGGTCAGGCCTCCGGTATGAGCAGATCTCCATCTTCCCAGGAGAGTGGTCTCTGGTCAGAGCCTCCCTGGTCAGGCTGTCCCCCTCACTGAGGCTGGAGGTTGGGGGTGGGCTGCAGTGAGGCATAGGATTCCTGACTCAGCAATTCTTTGTCCCAGGGTGGAATAGAGCCAGAGGGAGGTTCTTCTCAAATCCCATTTCCCTTCATTATGAGCAGGGCAGACTGGACAGCAACAAATGGTGTAGAGTGCAGGTCAGGTTCCATAATTTCATGAACTTCTGTATTCGTTTGCCAGGGATGCCGTAACAAACTACCGTGAACTCAGTGGCTAACGACAGCAGAAACGTATTCTTTCCTAGTTCTGGAGGCTAGAAGACTGAGAGCAAGGTGTTGGTGGGGCGACGTTTCTTCCCTCTTAAGGCCCGGGGAGCAGCTGTCCATCTGCTCTCCTGGCTTTGGAGGTTGCTGGCAGTCCTTGGCATTCCCGGCTTGTGACGGCATCACTGCTCAGTAGCATCGTGGCCTTCGTCCCTCTGCGTGTGTCTGTTTCCAACTCCCGCTCTCCTAATGCCAGTCGCTGGTTATGGGGCCCACCCTCATCCCGAATGACCTCACCTTAAATTGATTACATCTGCAAATACACTCTGTCCAAATAAGGTCACATTCATGGGTATGGGGGCAGGACTTCAACACAGCTTTTTGGGGACCCAGTTCAACCCACGAGAAGTGGCATCCACACAGCTCACTATTGTGTCCTTGCCAGTCACCATGACGACGAGCACCTCACGTGTGCATGGGCTCCGTCCGTGGCGCACCCTGGGAGAACCTAAGGAGACAGGGCAAGTGCCCTGGTTCTCCGGAGTGAGATGCACACTCACAGATATCTCGCTCTCCTTGTCCACAGTATGTCTGTCCATGCTAAGTTTCTCATCCTATATTTCAAAACACACTCAGTTTACATTCCCGACTTTGTTTTCCTGTGTCTCTGACGTCTGGCTCCAGCATGCACAATGAGCGGAGTGTTGAAGGGTCGTCTCGGCCATCAGCGAAGGCTTCTTTCAGCAACTCCCTGAAGCCAGCACAGAACTTCATATGAACAGGACCCCAAGACCTTTTGAGGTGATGCAAAGGGAGCGTGTAGAGGCCATGAAATAGTTTCCACGAGCTACTGGTGTTTAAAGAACACCTTCATTCCCAAAAGGTTTCCATTTCTTCTTTGTTCGCTTTATCTGATATACATCATTAAGGTTGTATCCTTCATGTTAGGTAGTTGCTGAAACGGGGCATCTCCCTTTACTTGCAGAGTGCATACGCTGCAGAGGTAATTTTCTGTTAACGTGAAATTCCAGCATCTGCGCGGAGGAGGGATTTCCACAGGGCTCCCCGGATACTCAATCGGTATTGGCTCTGCCGCAGGGTCATTTTGGCTTCACACACAAAGGTCCCCTTCAGCAGTTTTTGTCCAGTGAAAGCCCGGCTGCAGGCCGCGGGATGGCGTGCGTGTAGGGGGCTGTCACTCGAAGAGCTCCAGGTAGTCGGGAGGCTGGTCCTGCTGACCACAGGGGTACAGGAGGAGCTCTTTCCCCAGGGAAGTTATGGGTTCCTCCTGTGGATCAGAGGCACAGGTCAGGCTGGGCAGGTTGTTAATAGAGTATAAATACTGATGTCATGCCCTCCCTCCTCAGAGTACAGAACTTCCTGCCTACCCTTAACTTCACAAAGCTTTATGGTATACACTCTGCGAACAGACTTTTCTCATCCGCAAACTGCTGTGCACTCTCTCTCCTTCCTGGGCTTGAGTTCTAACTTAAGAGTGTTCTCCGACGTGATCAGTGCAGGCCCAGGCTGTTTAGTGTCTCCTCTATTCTCTGCCCAGTGGGTTTCCCTGAACATAGGCTCAGTGATAAAGGGAATGCGATTAAGAATCCTGATTATCGGGAGGAATTATCAAAGGCTAATTCCCCATTTTCTGTCCCCGTCATTTTTCTCTCATTATCGCCTTTCATTGTTCGAGCTGCTGCAGGACAGTAACTCAGAGCAGATGAAGTGTCTCACCTTGTGGTACTCCACCAGCTCGGCCAGGGTGGCGTGCTGCAGCTGGTCGGCGCCCAGGAAGCTGTAGGAGTCGGCAGAGGCGTCAATGAGGAAATGTTTGCAGCCGTCCTCAGACAGGTAGGACAGGGCATAGCCTTTGATCCTTTCGCTGACTCGGATCAGAAAGCTGCCTGGCACGCATGTGCTCAGAAGTTCATTCGCTCTCGTCAGTGAAAGAATTCCTGTGGGCATGAAAAGCAGGTACTTCAGCCAAATCATTTCCAAACCTCTCCTCTGTGAAACATAGCTAAAGTCTTAGTGAAAAGAAGCATGACTTTAAGTCCATTTGGAGCATCTATGGAGTACAGTCAAATATCATTCATCTTCTGGTATTTGGGCAGGGTAGGTTACATAAGCAAATGGATAGTATAATGAGAATATAAATATTTAATCTTCAGAAGAACAAATTTTCACTTGTACACCCAACCATAACAACATGGGTTTGGTGGCTTCTGAGTCTGGCCAGACCCTACCGTCATCCTGGGAGTGTTAGATCTGGAGGGGCCTTGAAGATGCTCTCCTCAGTCTGCTGATGAGGACTTGATGACCTGGGGATTGATCCCATTTGATCCAGAACAATGGTTCTCAACTTGGGCATGTCTGGAAAGTTTTGAGAGACGTTTGTGGTTGTCATAGGCAGGGTGTGTGTGTGGGGGGGTGTGCTACTGGTGGCCAGGGATACTGATAAATGTCTTACAGTGCACAGGAGAGCGTCATACTGCGAATCATCACCCAACCCACAATGTCAGTAGTGCTGACCCGAGAAAACCTTGGCTAGGAGTCAGCAAGCTAGTGATAGATCCAGGATGGATGCAGGTCTACCAAGTGCCCTCTGCTGTAGCTACTCCTAAATGATGCTCCTTGGCATAGAGGAATGAAAGTGTAGATAGATAGATATAGATAGATATCTTCATATATACTCAAAGGAATGAAACTCTTCAGATAGATACACACCCAGGGACTGCACATGTGTGTATAGATATATATATCTTCATATGCATATATCTGAATATATATATACATTTATACATACATACATATATATATGTATGTGTATATATATAGTTTAAATGCCTCATGAATTCACACTAATTCAAACCAGAGTTTCCCCCAATTAGTTTAAACTCATGAGGTTTGACTCATATTCCAGATCTCGCTTCTCATTCCTGTTGTAATTCTTCAGATGAACTGGTCGTATTAAAACACAGACAGGGCACAGACACGTCTCAGGAAGTGAGCTCTGATCTGGGGGGAGGAGCAGCTTTCTCCTCGTGTCCCTCGGCCTATCAGCAGACAGAAGCACCTGTCTTCTCCATTCCACAAGGGATACTCAGCGTCTTACTAGGAAAAACTTCTGGTGAAAAGCCAGTGGATTAGCATAGCCTTTTAGTCTTCTTGTTGGTCAAGTTAATTCAAACTTGAACCCTAATTATCCAGAGAAAACCATAAAATAAAAACATTACCATTACCTTTTTTTGTAAGTAGACCTTTAATGAAGGGAAGATTTTTTTTTAAAAAATCACCTGTTCTGCCCTGGCCGGTTTGGCTCAGCAGTTAGAGCATCGGCCTGCGGTCCAGAGAGACCCGGGTTCGGTTCCCGCTAAGGGCACGTACCTCGGTTGCAATTTGTCCCCGGCCCTGGTTGGTCGTGTGGGTGGCAGCCATTCAATGTGTCCCTTTCACGTTGATGTTTCTCTCTCTCTCTCTTCCTCTCTCTCCCTCCCACTCTATCTGAACAAAAAAATGGAAAAATGTCCTCAGGTGAGGATAAAAAGAAAAATCATCTGTTCTGCCCTGGCCAGTTTGGCTCAGCAGTTAGAGCGTCGGCCTGCGGTCCCGAGTGACCTGGGTTCGGTTCCCGCTAAGGGCACGTACCTGGTTGCAGTTTGTCCCCGGCCCTGGTTGGTTGTGCCGGTGGCAGCCACTCGATATGTCCCTTTCACATTGATGTTTCTCTCTCTTTCTCTCTCTCTCTCTTCCTCTCTCTCTCTCCCACTCTACCTGAACAAAAAATAGAAAAATGTCCTTGGGTGAGGATAAAAAAAAAATAGAAAAAATAAAAAAATCACCTGTTCTTGCCCAGCCAACACCAAGCAGCCGGCCTTCCTTTGGCCTTCCTTCTGCCATGCACATTCCGGAGGCCCCAGGGCCTGCACCTCAAAGTCTCAGTCCATGAGGTTCAACCCCAGTGAGGTGCTGGAGGGAGAACGGAGGGTGGTGAAAGGCCCGGTGGCTCCCCCCACTCACAGGTAGGAAATGTCCCCGAACAGAAGATTCAAGGCCTGTCTTCTAAGGGCCCCCAGCGCTACTGTATCATGCCCACAGGGTCAGTGACGCCTGTGCGTGATCTCCATCACATCTGCTCACCTCCCCGACCTTTCGCTGGTAAGACTGAGCCACTGGAAACTGCTCCGGGTCCGAGTGAGCCTCTTGGGTAAGCTGCTGCCCTGTCCACTGTAGGTGCTCGAATGACACCTGTGTGAATTCCAACAGCTATGGACTGCTGCTTCTCTTTGCTGTTTACCTTTCTAAACACGCCTGGTCCCACTGATAAGTTACAGATGACGTTATGACTATTCACTGAAACAAGGCAACAGGTAACCAGCCTGCCCTGGGACCGCACATGACTGAGGTCTGAAGACTCCGCCTTTGACGGCCTGTGGAACCAGGGATATCTGTGACACTGAGAACTCCCCTCCAGTGCCGAGGGACGGATATCTGTGACACTGAGAACTCCCCTCCAGTGCCGAGGGACTGACGAACCGAGTGAAGAAGCGGCATTCTGGAAAAAGATTTCTCTCCCCTCCCAGACTTACAGACTAACTCTGCAATCCCAACTGACTTCAACAGATGGGGCAGATGTTATAACTTATAACATCTGGATGTCATCCAGATGCATTTGGATTCCTAAAATGAAAGTTATTCTAGAAAATTATAACCAAACCTGGGTTAAGGTTGAATTGCTCCTAAAATCAGGTCACACAGTAGCTGTAAATCAAACTGCCTGAAGCCCCTCCATCTATAATTATTACCCGTTATGCACAGATCTTGGCACCGTCTAATCTTCGGAGACAACAGAACAAAATACAATGATTCTGCAGCAAACCACAGGCCATAATGGAGACTCCTTGCACACAGTGGTACTGATGGCAGGTTCAGAAGGTCAATGCTATTGAAATGAGGCTTTGTGTTTTGTGTTTGTTGTTTTGCTTTAAGCGGGATTCTTATTCCTAAAAAGCAGTCTCTTGGCGCATCCAATGATACAAGCTGGTATCCAATTTGTCATGATCCCATCAAGGGCACCGGGTGTACCCAGGGAGGCCTGGCTGTGACTGTGCCAGGCAGTGAGCTTTGTCTGCCCATGAAGGGAGTTCTTTAGCACAGAGCCAAAATCCAGGGTCAGATATTAACCACCATGGACTCCAGCAATCTCCTGACAGTGTTTTTTGTCCCCTGATTTGCCTGTGCACGACTGAGAATTCTGAAGCAGAGGTCCTCCTCCAGCCACAAGGCCGTGGCACCTCCAGGCCTCCCCCCGCCACCTGCTCTCTCCATGCATCTTACAAAAACCAAACCCATCTGAGGTTGTGGGAGGACTTCTGCACTGGTGAAAAGGAGGTAATTAAAGAAGATTTCTTGTACTTCATCAATTTTTAAAATGACCCAGATCTCCCGGTGACAGTCTGTTTTAAAGCTGGATCCAGGGGGGTGTGGCAGAACTACAGAGGGAAGCAGGTGTCTCCACATGGGGTTTACTGCACAGCTCCTGGCTCTGAAGAGCCTGAGGCAGAGCGGAGCTAAAACTCCTGAAAGCTCAGAGGGTGCTAACAGCTGGGGTTGAGAGGGAGCAGAGAGAAACACCCACTCCCCTCCCCTCTCTGTACACTGCCGAGGTTCCCTCCAGAACAGGACTAGTCAACTGGATTTTCTGTGATGATGGGGACGGTGTCTGTGCTGCCCATGAGGCAGCCGCTAGCCACATGTGGCCAAGGAGCCCCTGAAATGTGGCCAGTGTAACTGAGGGACTTAACTTCTCATTTTATTTCATTTTAATTCATTTTGATGTGAAGAGTTATATATGGCTGATGGCTACCATATTGGACAGCCCAGCTCTAAACCTCTCTGGAGCAAAGGTGAGGTCCGTGGCGGGCCCAGGAGGACTATTTTTTGCACAGAGGAGGCTAAACAGACCCTGAGAACTGAAATAACTCGGAAATGTTGTGGCTTTGAACATAAATAGATCTAGGCCTCAAAACTGACTCTGCCGAAACTAGTGGTAGAAGCCTGAAAAAGAACAGAACACCTTAGTTCCCAGTTCTTATTCTATAAAGTGGGAATAAAAATGACCACCTTTAAAGTACTCAGGACAGCCCTGGCCCGTTTGGCTCAGCGGTTAGAGCGTCCACCTGCGGTCCGGAGAGACCCGGGTTCGGTTCCCCCTAAGGGCATGTATCTCGGTTGCAGTTTGTCCCCGGCCCTGGTTGGTCGTGCGGGTGGCAGCCACTAGATGTGTCCCTTTCACATCGATGTTTCCCTTTCTCTCTCTTCCTCTCTCTCCCTCCCACTCTGTCTGTACAAAAAATGGAAAAATGTCCTCGGATGAGGATTAAAAAAAAATAAAAATAAAAAAAATAAAGTGCTCAGGACAAAGCTTGGCATATATCAGGATCTCAATAAAGTACAGCTCCAACGGCATCTTCTGACAGACCGCTAGAATCACTAAGAGACTTCAACAGTGTGACTGGATTCAAGATAAACATATAAAAACATAATTTTCTTATACAAACAACTATCAATTATGTAATTTAAAAAAAACTAGAAATAATTATAAGTACACAGGGCTACATCTAGTTTGCTTTTCTTTTCTTTTCTTTTTAAGGCACATGTCCTATATGGAGAATTTATTTAACAATTTAAAATAAATATAAGGACCCTGCTGGTGTGGCTCAGTGGCTAAGCATTGACCAATGCACCAAGAGGTTGCTGGTTCTATTCCCGGTCAGGGCACATGCCCAGGTTGTGGGCCAAATCCCCAGTGGGGGTCATGCAGGAGGCGGCCAATCGATGTTCTTTCTCATCGATGTTTCTATCTCTTTCTCCCTTCCTCTTTCTCTAAAATCAATAAAGAAAAAATAAATAAAATAAATATTAGGAGAGATTTACTATGTTCCTGGATGAAAAGATACATAACATAATGATGGCAATAATCTCTTCAAATTAATCTACAAATTCAATGTAATTCCACTAAAAATCCCAACCAAGCTCTTAAAACTTGATGTGTTGCCCAAAAAGCCACATGTGCATATAAAGGGATTATTAAGACAATTTCAAAAAAGGAGGAGGAGGGAGAACTTGCCCTCCTAGATATAAAAATTAATTATAAATATATAGTAATCCCCATATACAGGATCTTGGCAAATAAGAGATAATATTATAAGTCAGTGGAGAAAAGAAGGGCTATTTAATGAATGATATTGGGACAACTGGCCGCTTCCTATGAAAAAGAATAAATTAGGTTTTATATGGTATATCATATACAAAAATAAATTATAGGTGGAGTGTGTATTATACCACAGTAAAAGCCATAAAGGAAAATTAGCTAAACTCAACCTCATCAAAGCAAAAAACTTCTATGCTTCAAAATGTGCCGCAGCATTAAAACGCAAATCATAGCCTAGAAGCGAATGGGCGAGAAGGGAGTCTGCCGGCGAGACAGCCTTTGACCTCCAGCGGCCAGGCTTCCCCGAGTCACCAGCCTGCGACGAGGTAGCGGACTCCCTCGGTTCTTATCTCAGAAAGGAAATAAAGAAGGCAGTAAGAGACAAGCGGCGATAGCCACGGCGCACATGGAACTGACCCATGTTCTATTTGTCTTGTCACTCTTTCCCCCAAAGTCTTTAAGCAAAGAGGAAGAAAGGAGATTTAGGACCTGGTCCTGGCGGGGAGAGGGGCTCCTTTGGGAAGCAACACGTCCAAAGCCTGAACTGCCCAAGAACAAGTAGCATCCAGGAAAACTAGACAGTTATGCTGTAATGTTGTCTTTTTTAAAACAAGTGTTTTTCTTTATTGGTTTTTTTAAAGAGAGGGAGAAGGGGAGAGAGAGAGAGAGATAGAAACACTGATGAGAGAGAACGTTGACTGGCCACCTCCTGTATGACCCCCACTGGGGGTTGGGCCCATAACGTGGGCATGTGCCCTGACCGGGAATCGAACCAGCGACCTCTTGGTGCATGGGTCGACGCTCAACCACTGAGCCACACTGGCTGGGCTGCTATAACGTTCTCACTGCAAAAGCAGCCCTTTGAGCAGACAACCTACCACAAAGAATTGTGTTCTTTTCAGAAGGGCGTGCCATGTTATCTGTTTGGGAGGTAGATGATACTACTTAAAAGAGAGCAGCCTTACCCATCATTCAAACCAAGATACCCTTAGGACAGTGCACCCTGTGAGAACTTTGTTTCTGTTTAAAGCACTTGGGCTGTGCATACAGCCAGTTACTCCAGTTTAACCAGATTCAAGATGCTAATTGGGGCAAAACATAAACAAAACCAATAAAACACTTCCTCTTTTTGAAGTCCAAGAAACAGAGGTCAGTGAAATGTGAGCTGGGTAGACGGGTGCTTAAATTCATCAAGTTTCTAGTGTCAAATAAAGAAATAGTTTATTAGCTAATATCTGTCCAGGCTCCAACAAACCCACCAAGCAGCCTTCACTACGGACTAGAAACAAAGATCAAAAGCACAGAATTTTTAAGTTAAAGATCACAAGTTCAACTCCTCCATTTAACTGTTACGGAAGAGGCAAATGAGACTCAGATAAGCTGATTTACTACAGAGAAAGAAAATGATGTGCTCAAGGTCACTGATGCGGTTGTTGGACTGATGACTTCCCACTGTTCCACGGGCACCCTGCCCACCACACCCACCGCCAGATCCGGGTCCTCCGTGGACCGTGGATGGAAGTGGCAACCAAGAGCCCTGGCGCTGCTTTCTCCACCCACCCAGTGGTGTTTCACGTGGGCGGTTAACTCACGTGCGGGCAGCGACGGCCTCTGCTGCCTGCTTCGTCTAACACGGCATGAGAAACCTCTGAAAAACACTCTGTGAAAACTTCAAAGTCTCTTCTTGGGAAGCCCAAATAAAAGGAAGCTTTATTCTGTTGCCTTGCTGGTGGACCAGCAGTTTCATTCACCATCAGAGGAGGTTCCCTTGACGGACCTCTGCACTCACCATGGAACCAGGGAGCTATGGTGTCGGATGCTTTCTCGTAGCCTGCTCGCAGAGGTAGCTGCTGCTCCTTAAACCATCGGATGATGTCCTCCTGGGCAGAGCTGGATGCTGTCCTTGTCACTCCCTGATTTCTGTTATTTATGAACCATTTATCAAGTTAGATTTAACTAATTTAAAAAGAGTGCCTTCAAAAAAATACACACGCACATGGTGGGGCAAAGGTAGGTTTATAGTTGTGAGTACGAAAAACGGTTTGGTCTTGTATTATTACTTATTAATTATGGTAGTATTTTCCAATGAACAGCCGTAAACCTACTTTTGCCCCAGAGAGAGAGAGAGAAGGAAAGAGAAGAGGAGAGAGAGAAGTGAGAATTCTAGACATTTAAAGATCTGATCACATGGGCTGAGCTAATGGGAGGTTGGACATCTACCCACCGCCGCAGCTCCTCAAGGGCAGGAAATGGGAAGGAACATAACTCTGTCACTTGTCCTTCCTGTCCTACTGGCTAGTCTTGGGTACGAGCTACTGCTGGATTAACACATAGATTTTAATTTATCTTTAGTATGAATTAGAAGCTCCATTAACTCCTGATTAAAACTTATTAAAATAAGCATTAAGAAGTGAAATACACCTCAGCACTATTTTCCTGGAGAGCATGTACTTGCAAAACAATAAATCAAAGGCAGTGAAATAAACTTCTTTCCTAACGTTTTCATTATTCGAGTTTCTCTTCTTTCTCTGTCCACTCACCTCCCTGACTTGGTTTCTTCTCTCCCACACTTTGAAGAGGTTTAGTTCTGTTAAAGGACAGTCTGAGAAAGACAAAGTTAAAGAAGAGTGTTTTGAGAGCGGGAAGAAAAAGGTACAGCAGCCGAAGCCTTCGGAAATCACTTCAGTAGCAGAACTTCAGTTCTGGACTGTGAGTCAGTTTCCAGTACAGAAGAATCATTGCAATGTATTAAACAGATTTCCAAGTCCCACACAACAGCCTACTATTTTGAGCAAATTTCCATGTAAAAACAACAACAATGAGTTTGGACGACCTACTGAATATCCTGTCATGGTAAATTGATGTTATGGCTCTTTATGCTTTTGATGGTAACATATGCTACCACATGTTCCATGTGACATATATGGCAGATGGACATATATACATGTACATATGCATACATAGCATTTTTGAGAAAATAGACTATAATATTTTACTTTCCTGGGGACCAGACATTGTACACATGTGAGATTACATGATAAGTTATCTTACTAGTTTTCAAATAAGGTTTTTTTTTTCCCTTGGGAAGTCTTGAGAAATCAAGGGAAAACTCCAAGGATAGTGCTTTCCTGGGCTGGCTCCTAGGTGACCTCGGTCATCACTGTTTAAAGCACCAGCCCTAACACCATCCAGTCTGGCTGCCTCACAGGAAGTACTTCATGCAAGTGTCTTAAGTCGGAAAGAATGAGCTAAATGAGCACAGCTTAACACAAGAACGGCCCTTATTAAAGGCCACCTTCATTGCTGCCAGTCACATACACTGTGCTCTAAAAATGTTGCGAGCGAGGGTACAGATCCTCCTCCCACCCCTGGGAGAGCCTGGAGAGGGGCAGGTACACACACCTCCCGCCTGGGGTCCACGGCCACCGCTCCCAGACAAGCTCAGACACCGGCCAGGGCCCCGAGAAGGAGCTCACGCCTTTGTGACTTGGTCACAAAACTGCCAGCAGTCCTGCTTCCTGATGACCTTTGTTGTTTTGTTGTCCATAAGGAAAGAGTCACTCCCCAAACTGTCACTTTGTAGAACATGGTCATTTAGTCCCAAAACGGAACCTTTCCATTGAGTCAGTAGAAATAATCACAGTAGAGGAAAAGGTCTCCGTTCAGGTCTTCTCTGAGGTCATCGTCCCGTCAGGAAGAAACCTTGATGATAACTACTGACTCCGGGCAAAGGCAAATTTGGCTGTTTTTTATTTCTCCAGTCTCACAACAGGGAAGTATTTTTAGTTTTTATTTCAGAAGGCAAGGCTTTATAGAAAGTTCTGTTTCATTCAGTCAATATTTAATTTCTCCTGGTTATTTTACATATTAGACTATGAAATAATCACTTATCAACCAGGAGAAAAATAAGTTTATAATCGGTTTCTGCTGTGATATGGTTCTTTTTCTTTAGGAATTGTTTTTGCCTAATACCTCCACAACCTAGGTGGCAAAAGTGCCATTGTCAACAATCCAAGAGTTCATTCAAAAGAGGACACTTCCAAATTCTCAGCATGTGAGCATGCCTATGTATCCCAGAGTGAGAACAACCACCGAACGCTAAACCCCGAGCAATGAAAATGTAGCTCTACTGATGACATGAAGTCAGCCACCCTTAGGTTCCTACTTTGATAGTCTCACTGCTAAGAGCCATACTGGGAACTGGGGGCACTGTGGTTGTCTCCTCTTGTCCCTTCATTGGCCCACCTGCTGCCACCAGGTGGGCTAGTGGCCCAGGAAGTTAGCGAATTCAAGGCGCATCTTCACTAAGTCACTGGGTATGTTAATTATAACAACTGTAGATGTTTTACAGATGAGAAAGGGGTGCGTGCCAGACCGGGCATCTCAGGAAGGCAGGCTTAGAGGAGACGCTGAATTTAGTTACTCAGTTCATTTCAACCTTTACTCTGAAAGCCATCTGCACGGTTTCTTACCTAAAAGGTTTTCGAGGGTATTCCGCTGGGCTTAGGAATTTCGGCTTGGGTGGAAGGGGGGGTCTCTTTGGTTTCGGTGGAATGCTTGGGGGGCTCTGCGGTCCCTCACCGCTTCTTCCTTTTTGGGATAACCTCTTGTAGTCTTCCCGAGCCTGTTTCGCCAAGGAGCGTCTCCTCTCATCAGCTGCTTTGGACTTTCGCACTAGAACAACAACAGTTTTGAGAAAGGCCCTCGTCAGCCCCAGAGGTGGATAGAAGAGTCAGCACTGCAGCTGGAGAGCAGAGTCTGACATCTGCTGATAGTGATGGACAATCCCGGTCAACGCCTGTTCTTCAGACAGTTAGGGCTTGCACATTCACAACTGCCCAGGTTCACTACACAGCTGCTCCTTAGCATTTGGGACTTTCTGAGAGGGACAGAGAAGGAAGGACAGGAGGAGGGACAAGACAGAAATGTGGTGATACCTCATTGTTGTTTTGATTTGCATCTCTCTGATGATTAGTGATGATGAACATTTCTTCATATGTCTCTTAGCCATTTGTATGTCCTGTTTGGAGAGGTGTCTATTAGTTCCTCTGCCCATTTTTTAATTGGATTCTTTGTCTTCCTTTGTGGAGTTGTATGAGCACTCTATATGTATTGGAAATTAACCCCTTATCTGATATATCATTGGCAATTATGCTCTCCCATACAGTGGGTAGCCTTTCCGTTTTGATGATTGTATCTTTCACTGTGCAGAAGCTTTTGAGTTTGATGTAGTCCCATGTGTTCATTTTCTCCTTTGTTTCTATTGCCTTAGGTGATGTATCACCTCACACCTGTCAGAATGGCCACCATCAACAAATCATCAAACAACAAGTGTTGGCGAGGGTGTGGAGAAAAGGGGACTCTAGTACACTGTTGGTGGGAATGCAGACTGGTGCAGCCACTATGGAAAACAATATGGTGTCACCTCAAAAATTAAAAATTGATCTCCATTTGACCCAGTGATCCCACTTCTAGGAATATACCCTACGAAGCATAAAACACCAATCAGAAAGAATATATGTACCCCCATGTTTGTAGCAGCACTATTTACAATCGCTAAGATCTGGAAACAGCCCAAGTGCCCATCAGTAGACGAATGGATTAAAAAGCTGTGGTACATATACACAATGGAGTACTACGCAGCGGTAAGAAAGAAAGATCTCCTATCCTTTGAGACTACATGGAGGGACCTGGAAAGTATCATCCTAAGTGAAACAAGCCAAACAGAGAAAGACAAATTTCATATGATCTCACTGATTTCTGGAATATAATGAACATAACAGTTTGAGGACAATCCCCTAAGGAGTGGGGAGGTGAGAGAGGGATGAACAACAGAATTTATATGCATGTATGCATGAACAGTGGACATGGACAACAATCGGGGGAAGGGGCAGGGTTGGAAGGGGGAGGGGGGAATCAGTGGGGGGAAAAAGGAGAATCATTTGTAACAAAAATTAATCAATAAAAAAAAATAAAATAAAATAAAAAAATAAAAAGCTTCATCATGCAAAAAAAAAAAAGACAGAAATGTGGAGCCATTTGTTGGAGAAAGTCCTGCAGCTGGCAAGACTAAGTGATGAGTCACAGCCCAAGTACGGATTCCAGTTGGCAGGAGTCTTTGAATAATAAGAGGTGATAAACCCGTCACACAAACAAGAGTTCAGGATGTCACGTGCCCTGAGTCATGAGCAAAGACCAGGCTGTCAGGAGCTGGGCCGTGGCTCAGGCTGCGCACAGGGTGGGCAGGCAGCGAGGCTCACCGCCAGCCACACTCAGAGCCCACTGTCAGCTGAGCCCACTGTGAGTCAGCCTGTCAGACCCAGAAGCAAAATGATTCTGACCACAGACAATCACAGGGTTGGTACACATAAAAGTACCCAAGGCTGCCTCTTCCTATTGCTTTGTGAATAGAGGGGTTTATTGTTTTATTTTGCTTTTGCATTAGCAACACAGTATTAAAGGACTCTAATGTAGGATGTAAGAATAATTTTTCTTGAGTGTATTTACATTTCAGGCATCATTAGTCAAATCCTGTTATGGGCGACTTCAAAGAGATGCCAAAGATGTTCCATTATGCTAGGAGTTCACTGCATAGAAGTGATTGGACCTTATGAATATTTTCGTTTTACAAAAATTGTCCTTGTGATGGTGTTCCTTGTAATGGAACTGAAGATCAATTCAGGCTGCCACTCGCCTGCCTCCAGCTGCCTCAGGAATGCTCTGTAGTTACGGCTTCTCTGAGTCAGACAGAAACCCCGGTACCATTTCAAACCTGAATTCCCAAGGGGTTTCCTCCGACAGTGCTAATTCAAAAAGGTGTCAGGTTGGTCATAGGCGTGGGGAGGATGCCTGTTTTTCCTGCATTCAAAGTTAAAATGTATCCACTGTTGAAATTTTAGAAAATTATAGAATAATAACAAGAAGAATTCAAGTAATCTCAAATCCCACCTCTCAAATGGTAACATGTTAATAGCCTTCCAGTTCTTATCCTTTATATACTTAGACTTTCAAGAATAGCCCTGGCTGGTTTGGTTCAGTGGTTAGAGCATCATTAGCCTGCAGTCTGGAGAGACCCGGGTTCGGTTCCCACTAAGGGCACGTATCTCGGTTGCAGTTTGTCCCCAGCCCTGGTTGGGGTTATGTGGGTGGCAGCCAGTCAATGTGTCTCTCTCACATTGATGTTTCTCTCTCTCTCTTCCTCCCTCTCTCCCTTTCACTCTATGAATGCAGAAAGTGTCCTCAGGTGAGAATTAAAAAAAAAAAAATTAATTAATTAATTAAAAAAGAATAATTTGTATACTATTTTATAAAGTTTTTTCTTCTCCAAGCTAAAATAGCTATAAACATATTCCAAGGTCATAAAACACTCTTTGGAAACATTTTTTTTTTTTTCATAGCTATTAGCATCCCATCACATAAACACGTAGTTTTGATGGTACCGAGCAGAACCTTTCTGCTATTCAACAAGGGGCTCGTAAGCCTTTTGGTAGTAATTACTGTTAAAACATCTCTCAAGGGCCTCTGCGGGCTTTGTGGACTGATCACTTCATTTCATGGGCCAGTCGGCCTGGAGAGGCCTCTGGGTACTCACGAGATGCCTGCCACTCGGAATCTTCCTTCCAGCTCTTATAAATCTGCTTGGTTCTCTCTTCATCTATTTGTTTTATTTCTTCCTCTGGTGTTTTCTTCGTGGATTCTTTCTTCTGTTTAAGAAACCAGAAACAAACACCGGTGATCAGCTGGGGCAGCTGTGCTTGAGGAGGAGGTCTCCAGGCACGCCCGATTTCTGTCTCCGCATCTGTGACCTCCCGCGAGGCAGGCGGCTGTGCGCACCTGCAGCCGGCTCAGCACCCCTGACCGGACCCCCACAGCTGGTCACCAAACCTGTCTGGCTGGTCCCCCTGAGCCCAATTAGAGAATTAAGGATATTTATATGAGGGTTGAAGAATTTTTTTAAAAGTGTCTAGCACAGTGTGTAACAGATAGTTAGAATTCAATACATATTCATTTTTCCCAGACATCACACTCACCTGTTTTAAATGGAGTCCCCTGAGCAGCGTGCATGAAAGCTACAGCTGACGGGCTCCGCAGAGTAACAGCACATTCCCACAGCGAGCTCACTGTATCCCCACGTGCCCCTGACCCCGTGTCTGACAGCGCGGGACTTACACATGGTTTTTGGTAGCTTCAAAAGAAATTTGTTAAAAAAAATGAGAGAGCCCCGGCCAGTTTGGCTCAGGGGTTAGAGCGTCGGCCTTCAGTCCAGAGAGACCCGGGTTCGGTTCCGCTAAGGGCACGTACCTCGGTTGCAGTTTGTCCCCGGCCCTGGTTGGGTCGTGCGGGTGGCAGCCACTCGATGTGTCCCTTTCACATCGATGTTTCTCTCTCTCTTCTTTCTCTCTCTCCCTCCTGCTCTATCTGAACAAAAAATGGGAAAATGTCCTTGAGTGAGGATAAAAAAAAAAACAAGCCCTGGCCCGTTTGGCTCAGCGGTTAGAGCGTCGACTAGCAGACCGAAGTCTCAGGTTCTATTCCGGTCAAGGGCATGTTGTGGTTCTGTTGTGGCTCATCCTCGGCCCTGGTTGGGGTCATGTGGGAGGCAACCAGTCGATGTGTCCCTCGCACACTGATGTTTCTCTCTCTCCCTCCTTCCCTCTCTTCCTCCCTCCCACTCTATCTGAAGATAAAGGGAAAAATATCCTTGGGTGAGAATTAAAAAAAATAATAAATTAATTAAGTTAAAAAAATTTTTTTAAAAGTATCCTCTTTGAGAATATAAAATATAAAATAAGAAACATGGAAAATATAAAATAAACACAAGTCTTTCCTTAAAAAAGAATTCGGGTATTTTTTGTAGTAAAATATACATAACACCATCTTCCATCTTGACCGTTTTTAAGTGTACATTTCTGTAGCATTAACAACATTTGAGGGAATGAAGTTTTAACTAAAGAGAAACAAACACATTAAATCACTGAGACCTAACACGTGTTTTATTTGGACCCAGCCCCTGAGTACTGGTAGGAAGACTGAGGTAAGCTTGGTGATGAGGACCGGCCTTGGTCAGCTCAGGAGGGACGCAAGCCGCAGGGCCAGGGCGCCCGACTGGGCTTCGCTCTTCGTCGCGAAGATGACGGGATTTTTCCTGTAGAAGGAGAAAGCCTTTCTTTTTTTGAAAATCCTCACCCTAAGACATTTTTCCATTTTTTGTTCAGATATAGTGGGAGGGAGAGATAGGAAAGAGAGAGAGAGAGAGAGACATCGACGTGAAAGGGACACATCGAGTGGTTCCCACCCGCACGACCAACCAGGGCCGGGGACAAACAACAACCGAGGTACATGCCCTTAGCGGGAACCGAACCCGGGTCTCTCTGGACCGCAGGCCGATGCTCTAACCACTGAGCCAAACCGACCAGGGCAAGAAAGGCTTTCTTGCTGTTAAATTATTTCACCAGAATTTAAATCTAAACCTTGATGTTGTGAAACTTGTTTTTAAGTATTGTGGGAAGTCGTAAATCACAGTTAATGTAAAAGGGGATCATTCAGAAACCATACTTCACACTTCAGATATAACTAAACTTTTGTTTATGTGCTCTTTTCATACACTCTTTTCCTGCCTAGATCGAAGTTCCCTAGGCTTGTCAATACTATAAAAACCACAGAACAGCTTTTGGTGTTGGAAATGACGGCAAAAATTTGACATCCCTTTACTGAAGCTGTTTACAAGCCTGGAATACAAATAAAATGCTGCTGGCCATTTCTAAGCTTAAACAGAACAAATAAAACCCCAAAATGTGAAGTGGAGTTTTGTAGTCAATAATATTGTAGTAATTACGTGTGGTGCCTCTCTAGGGCTTCACTTTGTATAGTACATGATGTCTGACGACTGTGTCGCTCACCTCAAGCTAAAACAAAATAACACTGAGAGTGCACTGCAATTGAAAAATAAAATCTTTAAAAAGTGGAGCTTTGTCATTCACATGCATATTTTAAAATTATTTAAAATTACTAGAAAAAATATAGTTATAACATTAGACTATGACATTGTGGATATTATTGCTCAGAGAAAGCAAAAAGTTTACAAAGTGAGTCTACTTAATGAAAAACATTAAGTTAATACTCCAGAAGATACGAACATGTTTGAGAGTACTATATTTAGTAAATCATATTCCTTTTAAAGCTGCAGTGTGCTTATGTATGGGCACAGTGGGGAAGGAGACACAATGCATTTCACGGAGTAATAGCAGATGATATCTGGCCCTGACCACTGTATTTATTCAAAGCAGCTAGACAACAAGAACTTGTCCTGAGTTTCTCTAATAGTTCCTCCAGAATATGTACTTTTAGCAAATCTTTACAGGTTGATCTTTACTTTCTCCATTTAGAAAATTGTCATTTCCTCTTCAGAAGTATTCTGCGGGAAGCATGTAGGCAAAGGCTGGGGAGGGTGAGCCAGGCTGGGGAAGTCGAGGCGAAGGCTGGGGAGGGTGAGCCAGGCTGGGGGTGAGCATGCGAGGTGAAGGCGATGAGCCAGGCTGGGGAATGTCGAGGCGAAGGCTGGGGGGTGAGCCAGGCTGGGGAAGCCGAGGCGAAGGCTGGGGACAGTGAGCCAGGCTGGGGAAGCCGAGGCGAAGGCTGGGGGGTGAGCCAGGCTGGGGAAGCCGAGGCGAAGGCTGGGGGGTGAGCCAGGCTGGGGAAGCCGAGGCGAAGGCTGGGGGTGAGCCAGGCTGGGGAAGCCGAGGCGAAGGCTGGGGGGGGAGCCAGTGGGAAGCCGAGGCGAAGGCTGGGGGTGAGCCAGGCTGGGGAAGCCGAGGCGAAGGCTGGGGGGTGAGCCAGGCTGGGGAAGCCGAGGCGAAGGCTGGGGGGTGAGCCAGGCTGGGGAAGCCGAGGCGAAGGCTGGGGGGTGAGCCAGGCTGGGGAAGCCGAGGCGAAGGCTGGGGGGTGAGCCAGGCTGGGGAGCCGAGGCGAAGGCTGGGGGGTGAGCCAGGCTGGGGAAGGCGAGGCGAAGGCTGGGGGGTGAGCCAGGCTGGGCAAGTCGAGGCGAAGGCTTGGGGGGTGAGCCAGGCTGGGGAAGTCGAGGTGAAGGCTGGGGACTGAGCCAGGCTGGGGAAGCCGAGGCGAAGGCCGGGGAGGGTGAGCCAGGCTGGGGAAGCCGAGGTGAGGGCTGGGGAGTGAAGAGGCAGCAGCGCTGAGGCTGGACACATGTCTAGGTTCCAGCGCCGGAGCTCGGCGGAGGTTGGAGACGGAGAGAAGCACTTCCAGCTGTTAAAATGTCCCCTACACAAAGCCTCTCATCCTGGGCTGTGGACGGACGGTTCATTAGACCCTCCCCCTGGTCTCTGAAGTAGGAGGCCCTATTTATACCTTTGCTCTCCGGAGAAGCTTGGTAAGTGACCTGCTCAGTCATTCTCCTGAATTCTGACATAATTTCTAAGTGAGAGACGGAGAAGTGGCCCTGGGCACTCTCGTGGGAACACATGAACACTGAGAGTCTGGCTGTCTCACACCTAAATGTGTGGGAACCCCTGATCTAGTTCACCCTCCTTAGCTTAGAGACAAGAAACCTCGGCCCAGTCAACACACTGACGTGCCTTTGACCTCAGACCACTTCTCTTCTCCATCTCAGCTCACTTTCTAGATGATCTCATCTATCAGCACGGCTTGAAATAACACTCAGATACTGAACTCCTTACAAGGGTCTACACGACTCTCAGCCCTTATCCCTCTCCTCACTCACTGAGCTCTCTGTCGTTCCTTGACCGTGTCAAGTGAGCCTCTGGGCCTCCACGCTGGCTGTTCCCTCTGCCAAGAACATGCTTTCCCCCCGCTGTCCGCACGGCCCCTTCCCTCATTTCTCCAGGTCTCTACTCCACGGTCACCTTCTCAAAGCAGCTTTCTCTGACCACCGGCCTAAGAAACCAATTCCCGCCCTCCCGGTGTTCCTCAGCTCCCTCATCCTGCCTCCTCTTCCTCCACACCACGAATGACCACCTAACTCCATAGACATGTTTATTGTCCGTCCCCCCAACTGGAATACAGCTTCCTGAGAGCGGGCTTTTCCTCTTCTGGTCACTGCGTCTCCGATGCCCTTAGAGAGCCTAGCACGTCGGGAAACTCACTACATGGTGGCTGAGTGGACACAGATCCTTTGTCTTTCTCACCTTTCCTCATTTCAAATGACATAATGTCCCCTGGGCAGTGTTACTGAAAATTTCCTTTAGATACTCTAGGGCTGCTGTTTTAGAAAGAGCACATGTTATACCTACAGGACTACAGCCCCAAAACTTCACCATAATTTCTTGAAGTCTCGGATGTGAGAATTATCCAAGTTCACGTATGTCCCTAGAGAAATCAGGCACTTGAGCGCACTGTCCAGAGGAACGTGGAACCCGGGCAGGCCTCCACCACGGCCCCCATCTCAGGCCTGTGGTCCCTCGGAACCTCCTCTTTACAGCCTCGGATCCTGCTTTAGCAGACTCTCTGCAAGTCAAATCCTACTAGTGTTTCCAAGTCTCTGCCTCATTGACTGGGAGCAGTGCATGATGGGATTCCAATCTAGCCCACGGAGGAAGTGGGCTGGTCTATAGGGCGGATCACGTCTGGCTGGATAGGAGTGAAATCCAAGTATCCGGAGGAGCCCTGGCACAGTGGACATGGGTGGCACACGAGGCTGGTCACCGTAAAGGGACAGGATCATAGAAACGATGAACAGGAAGGAACCGCGTCCAAGTTCACTATTTCTGCCACGTCTGTGACTCCTTTACCACTCTCTGAACCAGTCTTCCCCGGGGTTTGCAGAGCCCAGGATATTGCCCCGCCTCAGACCTCTGTGAGGGGTCTAGCAGCTCTGTCTTGGTATCTATTCTTTCCATGACACTCAAGACTTTTTAACTCCAGACAAACAGGCAAAAACGAAGAGCTGTGCTCACAAGCTTCTAAAGACAGAATTCACATTCTCTGCTTAATGCCACTTCTCCCTGCGACTAATACACCAATTTGTGAAACATTAGTGGAAATGGCTATGCATTTAGCCCTCTGAAGACAGAATGTACATCTTTTACCTGGTGAAATCCATATGTCTTCATACGACTGATAGACTCTGCCAACATTTGTTGAATATTTCTTGAGGAACTGGAGGGTGACTAAAAATGAAACGAAACACATTTTTATACCATTTAGAGCTGCAGTGCAGTTTCAGAAAATAATCTGTTCGAGTTTCCCTCCTTCCAACGTTCCCTAATGTTGCCCCCACACTCAAAACGGGATCCACCGGTTTCCCACCAGCACCTGAGCTCCTGAGCCGATCCCGACTGAGGCAGCAGGCAGTGAAGCCTCAGCATCCCCCCCGGTGGGGCTTAGAAATGAATCATTGCCCAGGAGCCAGGAGCTGGTGGTTTGCTCATGACAAGCAGGTTTGTGTGTCTTGCTTTCAGTGGCACCAGGGTCCCTGGGATGACTTCTAGATGTCAATATTATTATTATTATTTTTTTAATCCTCACTTGAGGACATTTTTCCATTTTTGTTCAGATAGAATGGGAGGGAGGGAGAGAGAGAGAGAGAAACATTGACGTGAAAGGGACACATCAATTGGCTGCCTCCTGCACAACCCCAACCAGGGCTGGGGACGAACTGCAACCGAGGTACATGTTCTTGACCGGAATCAAACCCAAGACTCATTGGTCCACAGTCCACAGGCCAACACTGTAACCGCTGAGCCAAACCGGTCAGGGCTCAACATCACTTCTAAATCTAAAGTCTCTTCTTCCTCTCTTAACCCCTGCTCTACCCATGCCGAGCTTTAGGTCAGACCAGAGAAATGCTTCCTCTCTGCCATTTAACTGTATGCCCTGCTCCCCATCTAGGACTGGAGGCATGTCTGCAATACTAGTTTAGTGCCTGGGCACCCTGCCCACTTTCCCTGCCTGATCACATTCCTCCCCTCCTCTTCCCCTGACCCAGTTACCCAGCCCGGTATCCGGGTTTCTGCTAATCTAGATGGATTTCCCAAGAGGCAACTCCTGCTAGTGGGGTTCCCAGATCCACTGCTTGGATTCCCTGGTGTTATTCCTGCCAGCCACGTGCCAACCTCTCTGGCACTGTGACTGAGCTGGCATATCACATAGGTTCCTCTTAAAACCAGGTCAGTTACACAGGCCCCTGTCACCCTGTCCCTGGCTTAAGTGCAGAGCCTGGGCCAAGTCCCAGCAAGGGGCTATATAGCCTGACCCAGCCACCCACAACCCACATTACCATGACTTTGTGCCTTGTGCCCAAGGACTCGTTCCTGCATTTTGGCATAGATCAGTAATTGTCTGCACATTTTCAGCCAAAGGTTGGTACCAAAATTCAGCATGGAGCACAGAGGGTACTTTAGGGTACTTACTATGCTATGTAATAAACCAGTATGGCTACCTCAATTGTGCCCCCTTTTTTCACAGTAGCTGGGCATGTGTGCTAGGGCCTCGGCAGCCCTAGCAGTTTGGTAGGCTCATGTGAATAAGCTGTCTCCAATACAACGCAGGTGATAGCTGGTACTTTCTACTTCTGTTCGGGTCCTAGAGCCTCCGTCACACAAGCGTCCAGGCCACTTCCCCTTCCTTTGGGCTGGAATCATGATGGCAGTCACGCTAGTACTGAAGACCGCAGAGCCACCAGAGCCTGAGTCCCTGAGTGACGGGGGCCTCCTGACCCAGAACCCCATCCCGAATGTTATACGGGAGAAAGATTCACTTTTACTGTGTTCTAACTATTGCCTTTCTGGCTGAGCTGTTATACAAGTATAGTCCTTCTTGACTGATGAAACTGGCCACAGTTGCTGGTGGCACACTTGTCAAGCTCTCTGCTGAGAGTTTTTACAAATCATGGGCAGTGTTATCGATGCTAATTCCACTAGTGGCCACTAGTCGCTGGAGGCCTGTTATGACCAGGCACTGTGTTAGCGGTGTAGTGAGTATTATTTTTACTTCTGGCAACATCTCTGATGGATGGGCCATATCATACCCAATCCTCACATGAAGAAAGTAATCTCAGAGGAGTTGAGTAGCTTACTGAGATCCCACAGCTGGCTGGTGCCAGAGTTTTTGCTTTTTCCACTATGGCGACACTATAATGATAAGAAAGTAGAGTTGTAGGTCAGTGATTTCTTATGCTTATTACTTGGCAAAGTAATGAATCCAATAGGTTTCACAATTGCTACTTACATACTCTGTCGCACTTTTTCTCATTTTAATATTATAAAACATATATCGCTGCTCTGTATCTAGAGCAGAACAGCACACTAGCCAGTTCCTCTGTTTAGGAACAGGTTAGAACTCTTCCACCAGGTTTTGTGTGAGACTGTTCATTCAAAAGTTCAAGATATCTTTGCAGGCTCATTCTTGCAGTCTCTGAATGCATCTCCACTATGCAGAGTGTGAGCTTTAGAAAAAGGCTCACTCCCTTTCCTCAATAACCTCAGATCTGAGGGGCATCATCATTTTGCAAAAAGAATTAATTTCTTCTATGTTGAAATTTAGGAGGCAGGTAACCTCCTCCAGTTCTGTAGATAATGTTCCAACCACACTAGTGCACTCTGCACCTCTCCACTCGTTTGCTTCAGAAGGACCTGGACCTGTGCAACCGGCAGAACTTTGGACGAAGGTTTTGCCAGCTGCATCTCCAACATGCTCAGCCTTTACATCACTGAACAAACTGTTAGTTGTTTCCTGAATTAACGTCAGGCTAATAGCCATCTGGCTCTGCTCTTCCAACCCATATATTCCAAAATGTAGTCTGTTTCACCGAATATGTCTTCCCTTATCACTTACTGTCCCTTGCCAATTACTGTCATCTGCATGGGTATAATATGCGTTATTCTCTGTCCCTTAGAATTATTCCTTCAACATTGTTTTCTTACCACTTGCTTTTTCCTGATTTTAATTTTCCCCCTTTCATCCTCATATTCCTTTTCTTCCTAGAACTTTCAATATACTCATTGCTTTTGCACCAATCAGATGTGACAGGCTATTAATATTCTTAAAATAGTTCAAAACTAAGCACAGACACATGAACCAGACAAGGACAAGGACATGGTGGTGTGGTGCCAGGGACTGAAGGGACCACTGTGACCATCAGCACCTTCTACTGGTGCCAGTCATCCTTGCTTTGAAGTTTTAGGTTTTGGTTTTAGTTACAAAAGCTGGTTCTTGGTAGAAGAGTTTTTGCCTAAATAATTCATTAATTTAGAGATAAATACTCCTATTCAAGGACTTCCATATGTCTCAAACATATTGTAAACTCTAAAACTATTCACACATGCTAAGAACCACATTGATAAAAATACTAAGTTTCAAGGTGAAAGAAGATTTGCCATTATTCTAAAGTGTTAAAATAATATGAAGAACTTAATCAAGACTTGGGTAGATCAGGTTCATTCAGGTACACTTACATGAATGAACAAATTCATGGAATACACCAAATACAATGTAATAGGCTGAAAGTGGTGTGGTAGAAAAAAGATTTCCTTTATTAAAAAACAGCCGGATTAGCAGCTCAAAGCGATCATTTATGATACCAGTACCCAAGGGAGACACCTCACGAATACCGTTGCCTCCCCGAGCATTCCCAGAGGGGACTGAAGCTTCTTGGAGAGAGCACCATGCCATCTCCGAAGCTTCCACAGGATGCAGTATTCTGGGGAATATGCTCCTTAGTTATTCTTATTTGAAACATAAGAAAGGGAGGCAAACTACCCGTCTACCTATATAATTTCGCTTACAAAACATTTTCAAGTCCAATACATCATTTGACCCTCATATCACCCCCATAAGGGTGTCAAAGCAGGTATTGTCTTTTTACCAAAAAAGTAAGGTGACCCATAGGCAGGAAATCAGAGACTGAACCCGTGTCCTCTCTGTGTCTATAACTTGCTCCTTCCACAGGGTGTCCCAGAGAACATATGTCTGCTCTCATGCACTCAAGTCACTGCAGCTACCTCCCCTCTGCTACATTATAAAGACTTCTGCCACCGCTGAAACTCTAGGGGTGGAGTTAGAGTAATCTTACCTGCTTCATATTTGCTTTATTTAAAGATACAAACTGTATCGCTACAACAAAGATAGGCATTATTTATAATAGCCAAGACATGGAAATAACCTAAGTGTCCTTCGATGGATGATTGGATAAAGATGTGGTACATATATACAACGGAATACTACTCAGCTGTAAAAAAGATGAAATATCGCCATCTGTGACAACGTGGTTGGAACTTGAGAATTATGCTAAGTGAAATAAGTCAGATGGAAAAGGACAGGAACCGAGTAATTTCATTCAAATGTGGGATATAAAACAAAAAAACACAAATGAACAAACAAAAAAACAAACTCATAGATGCAAACAAAGGAATGGTGGTTACCAGAGGGGAAGAGGGTGGGGGGAGGACAAAAAGGAGAAAGGGGATCAAATATATGGTGACATAATGAGATTAGGCTTAGGGTGGTGAGCACACAATACACTACACAGATGTCATATGATAAAGTTGTACACTTGAAATTTATATAATATTATTAACCCATTAATTTAATAATAAAAATTTTTAAACTGCCACATAATATTTATGCAAAAGCTTCAAACTTGAAATCTAAGACATCAGGGGCTAGTGGACATGCCCCAGACACCACATCAAAACATGGTCTCACTAATCAGTGCACACCCACCTAAATCTGGGAGTGGAGCCCATCCATATTGACTGAACAATAGATATATACATAAAATTACCATTAAACTTAGAAGTATGGCAATTCAAATTGACATAAACAATGGGGTTATCAAAAGATGCTGCTAGCAACACAGAAATTACATGGTTTCAAATTATATTCACCCAGAAACTATGTGTAATATGAGGGTTTATTCTTTTTTATATAATATTAAAATATAATATTTTTTATTTATTTTTTATTAATTTGTTTTTGTTACAGATGTTTCTCCTTTTTCCCCCATTGACACCCACCTCCCCATCCCCCCTGCCCCATCCCCAGCTTTGTTGTCTATGTCCATTGGTCATGCATACATGCATCTAAGTTCTGTGGTTTATCTCCCCCCCCAACACCCTTCCTCTGAGGCTTGTCAGTCTGTACCCCACCTCTATGTCTCTGGATCAATTTT